TGTATAATCTCACAGTAATTTAATAGATTGCTCGTCATATTATATCAGCTCGTAGGAGATTAGGAAAAAAAAAGATATTTATAGTATAAAAAATTAATTTATTTAACAAAATTTAATTAAAGATGTGACAAAATAGTTACATTTCTATTGGTTCTATCGGACTTTTTTCGACTATATAAATCTTTATTTTTTGTAAACTTTAATGCATAAAATATTTTCAATCTAATAATAATTTAATGATGTAAATAAGAGGAAATTTCTCACATGGGTGGTCAAATTCTATAGTTTTCATTATATCAAACAGCCTCTGAACGTTTTCTTCAGTGCAAAACTCATCAAAATTTAATTTAAATAATTTTTCCAGCCTGTAAATAAAATGAACAAATTTTTCCACTTTCATGATCAAAGGCTTTTAAATGGGTAAATAATTTCGAGTTATCCAGAGATTCGGATTTTTTTGCAAATTTTAGACAAATATCACATTGATGTATTTGAACACCCTTTTTAATGATGTAGTCAAACATAATTAAAGGCATTTTGAGTTGAAAACATTTCTCAGAGGCTGTTTGATATAATGAAAACTATAAAATTTGACCACCCATGTGAGAAATTTCCTCTTATTTACATCATTAAATGATTAATTAGATTGAAAATATTTGATGTATTAAAGTTTACAAATAAAGATTTATATAGTCGAAAAAAGTCCGATAGAACCAATAGAAAGGTAACTATTTTGTAACATTTTTAATTAAATTTTGTTAAATAAATTAATTTTTTATACTATAAATATCTTTTTTTTCCTTATAAATAAACACATTTGCATCCCATTTTAAATAAGATATACAAATTACCAAAACTTAGAAATAACAGTTCAAAAGTTCAACAAAAATCCTAACGCGTTTTTAAAAAGAAACATATAACCACGCACTATGTCATTCCAGCAAGCGAATACGACACAGCATAGGTTTCCGGACTAAACGACTGGTGTATTTACACCACTCAATAGGCGTGTCGGGTTTGCCGAGCGGTTTCCGATGCAGTCGCTTTCTTTCGCATCTGTTATAGGTAATTTGTGGCTCTGTACAGAGAGTTTAACAAGATACTGGGCAACAGAGAACTACCGATCCATACAGACATCGAGGATGCTAACCACAACCGCCTCCGATCCAGAAAACCACCCACCAAAATCGCACTAAATGTAATTGAAGACGAATGGAGCATCACCGACGCTTGGTATCAGAAATGGACGTCGAAACAAAACAGTGACATGCCATGCATCACCAACCCACCACCAGGTTTTGACTTACCAAGGAAAACCTGGTGCACGCTAAATAGAATTAGAACGCAGCATGGCGGATGCGCCTATACTTTACACAAATGGAGCAAAAGTCCAAGCTCCTCCTGCGAGTGCAGCAAAAATAAGACCATCAAACATATCGTGGAGGAATGCCCTGAAACGGCTTATAACGGCAGACGAGAAGATTTCCTACTGCTAACCCCAGAATCAATAGATTATATTAATTTGTTAAATGTTCGTTTGTATTTTTTTTTCTTTCTTTTTGTCATATACGTACTTTGTGTCTTAATACGTTAAATAAATAAGAGTACGAAACGAGACAATCAGGAACAAAATGGGTAGACAGAAAACTAAAGTGAAGGAAATAGAGAGTACCTAACTGGAGTGGTATGCACATGTGAGAAGGATGGACAACACGCACTTTTTTTTTTGTGAGGAGGGAAAAAATCTTGCATAAGACACCCACAGTTGGGTAGTGCCGGATTCTTACCGGCTTATCCGCTCTCGCATTGCTTCAGTGCAAATGGTGTCTATAGATTTATGATGTTCGTTGTCTCTCTTCCATCTCTTTGCAACTTATTATATTTCAGACTATCCGATATACTAGCTTCCATTGTACTTCCCCTTTAACTTCTTCTTATCACGCCCTCTCCTGCCGAAGGTTGGCGATCCAAATGGCAATTGTGGCTATGGAAACTGCAGCCCGGAAGATTTCCGCAGACGAGCGCTCAAACCATCTCCTCAAATCTTTTAGCCATGAGTTCTGGCGTCTTCCTACTGATCTTTTCCCTTGCACTTTGCCCTCTATTATGAGGCGCAGTATTTCGTATCTACCACCTCTCATCACATGACCCAGGTATTGCATTTTTCTTTCCTTGATGGTGTTCAGTATCTCTTTTTGTTTCTGCATGCGCTGGAGTACTTCATTGTTGGTGATCCTTTGTACCCATGAGATTCGCAGCATCCGTCTGTATATATACATTTCGAAGGCTTCTATTCTCTTCTCGGTCTGTGAATCCAGTGTCCAGCTCTCACATCCATAGAGTAACACAGAGAAGACGTAGCATCTGGCCATTCGAGTTCTGAGATCCGCACTGAGGTCTCTTCTTGTAAAAAATGATTTCATTCTCACGAAGATTTTTCTCGCTTGCTCAATTCTTGAAAATATTTCTCTTTTCGGGTCGCACTGACTATTGATGTTAGCTCCTAAATACTTTATTGAGGTCACTTGTTCGATTGTTTGTCCCTTGACATGCAGGTGTGCATTTATTGGAGTCTTAGAAAAGACCAATAGTTTGGTCTTGGAGACATTGAGATGCAGTCCAAACATCTCACTATAGTGGACTACGGAATCTATAATGCTTTGCAGTTCTTGTATATCGTTGGCTATTATAACCGTATCATCGGCATATCTGAAATTGTTTATTGGGATTTCAATGAACTTGATTCCGCCCTGGATTCGATCCAGTGCTTCTCTAAATATAGTCTCCGAGTACAGGTTAAACAGGAGCGGAGACAAGACGCAACCCTGCCGTCTGATTTGTATATCTTCCGATGTTGACTGCTTCATCTCAACTACCGCCGTTTCATGCCAATAAAGTTCTGATATGAAACGTAGGTCATGTTCGTCAACTCCGGTTGTTCTTAGAATTTTGATCATCTTCTGATGATTAACATAGTCGAACGCCTTACGATAGTCTATGAAGCATACAAATACATTCACATTCATGTCTCTACACCTCTGTGTCATTACATTTAGGGAGAAGAGTGCTTCACGCGTTCCGAGTCCGTTTCTGAAGCCAAACTGGGTGCTGTCCATCTGATTTTCGCACTTCTTGTAGATTCGAGTGTGGATGATTCTAAGAAAGGTTTTGAGGACATGGGACATAAGACTTATCATCCGATAGTCATCACATTGTGAGGCGTTGGGTTTCTTTGGCAGGGTTACGAATGTTGATTTAAGCCAATCTGACGGTATTTTGCTTGAGCTATATAATTTGTTAAATAATGCTGTTACCAAATCTAGACTTCTGCTTTCGTTATCTGCAATGAGTTTAAGTATTTCAACGTTTATTTTATCGGGGCCGGTAGCTTTTCCGCTTTTCTGCGCTTTTATTGTATGAACAACTTCGTCTTTGGTTATTGTTGGAGCCTTTTCATTCAGTATGTGATCCTTGGTACCCCTTTAACATCATAAATGCGGGTAAGTCAAATTCTCTGCCGGTTTCTGTACGAAATTCTTCCCTAAGGACCTGCCATCGTTCACACGCAAATAGTGTATGTTGAACATCGTCATCTTGACCACAGTAGATGCATGATGCACTATCTACCCTACGACGATCGTATAAATATTTTCTAAAACACCCATGGCCAGACAATGCTTGACTCATGAAGTAATCGACTTCTCCATATTGTCTGTTTAACCATAGTTGTATGTCGGGTATTAACCTGTTAGTCCATCTGCCAAATATTCCGTTATTCCATTTCTCTTGCCACTGTTGGACAACACGCACCTACCTCAGAAGGTACTAACTTGGCTTCCACAAAAGAGAAGGAAACGGTGAAGCCCGAGGACAAACTAGATGGAGGGTGTCAAGAAGGCGATGAGCTCAAGGGATCTGCGTGACTCGCACAACGTCGAAGGGCGTTTTAAAAGCGATTCTTATATACAGGGTGAGTCTTAAATAAGTGAAAATATTTTTAGGGGTAGTATATTTCGACTCAAGAAACACGATTATGAGTTTCTTTTCACAAAAAAAATGAAAGATTTTTGAAAACTAAAAAATTGTATTTCTTTTAGTTTTTAGTTAAAACACACAATTTCTTCATAATGTGGCAACATAGGTAGTAGATTCAATTTACCAGAAAGAAAATCCAGAAGAGATCCAGTGGTTCTCAAAATTTAAGCCAAAAAATCATTTTTTTGGAAATTTTCAAAGTAAAATATCTCGGTTATTTTAGATTTCCTTGAAAAACGGTAAAGAGGAAATATGTTTCTTTTATCGAGATCTACCAGTCCCGAAAATATTTGCACTTATTTAAGACCCACCCTGTATAACAAAACATTCTGCAAGGTAATTTCATTAAGTATAGTTTATTTACTAATACTTCATTAAGTTCAGAAAGTCTTAGTACGTCTGCATCTAGCATTCTGCCGTGCGCGAATACCATATACGCCAGTAGTTTTGTTTGATTTAGATTACTTGAAAGCTCTTTTCACTTCTGCTTTCCGTATGCTACTCTAAATATTGTTGACCCGTTGTTATTTCAGTTCGGCAAGATTTTCGTTTAGAGTTCTAAACATAATATGTCTAATATAATCTCTCTAGTGAATAAAACACGTTGGCCTCAGAAGAAAAGAATATTTGTCATTGGATTTGTTTAATGAGTTTAAATTATTGTTTGTTGTATTACTTGAGTTTCTTGTAAAACTTTAAAAAACAATTTAAATACTTTTTTCTTATAACGGGTTTGTTATAACAGTTTATTGAGATCGATCCATATAATTAAGAAGTAAACACTTGTAGAATTGCTTGAATAAACTAAACATTTTATTGATTGCTTTGACGTGTTACAAAACCTTAGATCTTATTACAAACCTTAATTCTGACTTTTAATTGCCCCCCACGTTGGGCGCCAATTTATAATGGGTTTGTTATAACTTATAACTATTTATATGGATAAGGTTTTATTTCATTCATACCTATCGAGGATGGTTGGTCATCTCCTACGACGGACACGTCCGCCGCGTCCGCCATCGCAATCTCCGACTCCTGCTGTTGCTGGTCCTCGTCAGCGTCGTCCGTCGCCGAACTGACACTGATGATGGGCGTCTGACTCGTCACCGAGGAGGCTTTCGCGATGCTGTGGCTCTTTTTAAGCGTCTTGGCGCTAGCGTCCGCCTTATTGTCTTTATCACTAGGAATAACGAACACGGAGGAGGCGGCGCTAATCGTCGCCGAACTGTTGTCCTCGAAGGAGGACACCTTGCGTCGGGCACCCTCCATGCTGCCGGACCCCGAGCTGTGCGTGATGGGCACGGACACCGAGGCTCGGCGCGGAGTCTCGTACGTGTCCACGTGGAGGTTCTTGCCGCAGTCGAGGGTGTGCTGTTGGGTTAGCAGCGAACGTTGTAGCTGAAGAAAAAAGGATATAGTTATATATAGAATTAAACTTAAAATAAATATCTATGCTGTCTATCTGTCGTGTTTTTATATAATACTTTTGATTGCTAGAGTTATAGCGAGACATTAATCTTATGAAAAAAAACTTCAACTGAACCTACCTAATTGATTAATCACGATTCTGCTTAAACTGCTTGACGTAAAAAGCTTATTTTTGGCAAACTGATTTTTCGAAAGTCAAATTCCAATGAGATGAAACTACCTCTCAAATATTACCAAGTTATATAATAATATCGCTATATTGTTTTTTCTCATGCTGACATAAATGTGAGAAAATTTTATCCAGTTTGTATGTTAATAGAAATTCTTGCTTTGCTTTATCATCACCATTACAAATTATTAATTCGACGCGAACGAAGTCGCGGGTACACGCTAGTTATAGTTATATATACAGGGTCCGGCAATAGTGCATCGGGCATCTGTAGCTCCTAGAATAAAAAACTTGGGAATTTTGTTTAAGCGTAAACCTAAAGTATGTACAAGGATTATTTCAGGAAAATATTTTAACTTCTATAGGGTGGCTCCAAAAAGTGTGAGTGGATCGGAATTATTTTTTTAAACGGAACACCTTGTATATTATTGCATTTTTGGCTTCCTTTCAGATCATTTTACATAATTCTAAGGTATGAATAAATATATTTCGATAGTTTCAGAGATATTAATAAATAAATAAAAAAATCGTATTTTTCAAACTTTATTAAAAAAATATTACAAATACAAGAACTGTCCTGAAATCAAAAACTATATTAGGTATTTACTTTAGATGGTATATACTTAATTTTGCTATAAATATCGTAATCTTAAATCATACAGGATGTTCAAAATTCTACGCCAAACTTCTTAAAATATAAAATAATTTTTCTTTGATTTTTTTAAATGGTATTTAAAGTATTTCAAAATTTTTAATGGTTTTGAGATACACGCAGTATTATTTTATATGGCTCTCTCAACGGTAAAATACGAGAAAAAAATCATTGGGTGGCTTTGATAAAAATTTACTATTTAAAATGCCATATTATGAAAAAATATAAAACCGCGAATATCTGCGAAACCGTTAAAAATTTTGAAATACTCTAAATACAAAAAATGTTCATTTTTTTAATTCTTCCTTTATTGAAAAAATAATATACAGGGTGTTCCATTCAAAAGACTAAGAAAGTTTATTTTATATTTTCGATACATAACATACTGTATGATATACGATTACCATATTATAGCAAAGTAAGTACAGACCATCTAAAGTAATATATAGTTTTGGTTTGGTTTGGTTTGGACAGTTCTTGTATTTTTAATATTTTTTTAAGAAAGGCTGAAAAATATATATATTTTTTATTTATGTATTAATATCTCTGAAACTATCGAAATATATTTACTCATATCTTAGAATTATGTAAAGTGATCTGAAAAGAAGCCAAAAATGCAATAATATACAGGGTGTTCCATTTAAAAAAATGCATCACGATCCACTCACACTTTCTAGAGCCACCCTATTGAAGTTAAAATATTTTCCTGGAATACATCCTGGAACATACTTTAGATCTGCACTTAAACAATTTTTTTAAGTTTTTTATTCTAGGAACTACAGATGCCCGACGCACTATTGTCGGTCCCTGTATATTATAGTTACATCATTTTTTGGCCTAGATTGAAGTCTTGGCAGTATTTTAAGGACCGAAGAAGCAATAATAAATTCGCGAAACATCGCACAAAATAATAATTGTTTCCCTTCGAGTCTTCCCAACACCCACGATTTCTTCTATTTATTTATTTATCTTTTTCCTTAAGTACGCAAATGTTATTTTCACTACTTACTTTTTCAGCTAGTTCCGATACTCCAACGCTGACGTCCGACGACGAACTTTCCGAGTCCAGATGGGCGGAGTTCTTCCGATTGGTCAGAGGCGTCTTGGGTGGAGAAGATGGCGTTTCCCACGGACACACTTCTTCGGATGTGGAGGCGCCCGGTGCTATACTCGGCGGCTTCTTCACTCTGAGTCATACAGTCAGTTACATGATGTGAATGGCAAAAACGACTTCAAGTTAACATCGACATTGATTGGAGAAAATATTTAGTTAGATTCTAAAGAGTTACGATAGAGAGATGTATGAGTGTGCTGAAGATCCATGTAGGTATTGGTAAAGCTGAGAAATATATGATTAGTAAATATTTTAAAAATATTAATATTAATAGTAGACAGAGAAAAATATCTAGGTTATTAGTAAAAAATTACGGTTAATTAAAGATGTTTTCAATTTTAAGGGTTTCTGTTTTCTAAAATTGATTCTACTGGGGCAGTTAAAACACGGCAGTTTTGTAGCTAGGAACGGTATCTGTCAAGAAAACTCTCTGGTCACCATGAATTAAATTGAGAAAGAAACACAAAAGGCGAACATCTTACACTTTTCTACAAATTGCTTCAACACCCTGGAAATTTTTTGAACGTGAATGGCAATGAAAACTTTTGATTTAATACTGAATAGAATTAAACATCGAATACAGGGTGACCCAGGCTTTCGCAAAACTTTATAATAGGTTTTTGCTTTGCGATTTTTATTTCAATTTTTTACGTAATGTGGGGGCAATGGTAACGTCACATTTTAAAAGATTTTTGTCATAATATAGGGTGATTCAAACATATTGTCAAACTAAAGTTGTATATTTTTAAATGGAACAATATATAATTTTTTAGCCCACTGGATTTGCCGTCAAATCTCTGTTCAAAAATACCATAATGTTTTATACTATATCGAGTGGTTTTTGAAATATAACCGTTTTTAAACTAAATTTACTGTCTATTTAAAGCCCTCTCAAAATTCTAAATTCAACGAATTTTAAAATATGTATGTATGACACCTTTCTGTTGAAAGAGCGAAAGTCAAATCTTGTCTTATATTTTCAAAAAATCACAATTTTTTCATTATACCGGGTGCATCTCGAAAGTGGCTCACCCCGATACCTTTTTTTAGATAAAACAACGAGATTTGGTATGCTAAAAATGTGTTGGTTGATAAATTAGGATTGATTGACGTATTTAATTCTTTTTGGTCACTTCCTGTTTCACCGGAAATGGCTACAACTTTTAATTTTTAAATGGCACCCCCGATATTTTTTACTTTAGTCGATAGAAAATTACACTCTGAATAGAATGACATATCATATGTCAACTTTTCACATTTTCGCATATGGTTTATTTGAGATTGTAACATGCGGTTCATAACGACAATTTGACTCGAACTACCAAGTGTGTGGTACCAAATTATTCGTAGAAAATGATTTTTCCAAATATGCTAATAAGCCACACTTGTTCCACTTGAAAAAATTGAAATATGTTTAAAAATAAAAATTTGGGCATCTTTTAACTGGCCAGAATAAGACACGAAAAACATTAGATGATCAAATCTATTTTTCCAAAGCTTCTTGATTAAAAATTAGAGTTTTTAACACAGCCATGATACTCTAGATTGAAATTTAAAATACATTTTTTTTAAGCGAGAATGTCAGAAGTTGACATATTATATGTCAACTATGTCATTCTATTCTGAGTGTCATTTTCTATCGAATAAAGTATAAAAAAAATATACCGAGGGTGCCATTTAGAAATCAAAAGTTGTAGTCATTTCTTGAAAAGAAATCAAAATTTAGAAATCAAAAGTTGTAATCAGTGAAGCAGGAAGTGACCAAAAACAATTGAATACGCCAATTAATCCCAATTTATGTCATATACTAACATACCAAATCTCGTTATTTTATCTGAAAAAATAAAAAGTTATAGAGGTGAGCCACTTTTGAGAACACCCGGTATATCTATTTTAGCTATAGGGAGTTCTTAATAAAACAAAAATATTAAGTAAAACTCAGTTCGATTATGATACAAAATATAGGGTGTTCCATTTAAAATAGCAGAGAAAAACACAACATTTAGTTTTGATTCACCCTGTATATATCAAACAAGATTTCAAATTTTGGTTGGCTGAATTTTGAAGAAGACACCATTATAAAAACAGTACTTCCTGTTAAACATTTTTAAAATTCTTCGACTTTAGAACTTTGAGAGGGTTTTAGGGACTTTTTAGTATAATAGGAATATGTCGTAAAATGGCGTGAAATCGAAAAATTTGCTTTTTTAATATACAGGGTCCGGCAATAGTGTGTCGGGCATCTGAAGCTCCTAGAATAAAAAACTTGGAAATTTTGTTTAAGTGTAAACCTAAAGTATGTACGAGGATGTATTTCAGGAAAATATTTTAACTTCTATAGGGTGGCTCAAAAAACTGTGAATGGATCAGGATTAGTTTTTTTAAATGAAACACCCTGTATATTATTGCATTTTGGGCTTCCTTTCAGATCACTTTACATAATCCTAAGACATGAGAAAATATATTTTGATAGTTTCAGAGATATTAATAAATAAATACAAATTATAAATTTTTCAGCCTTTCTTAAAAAAAATATTAATAATTCAAGAACTGTCCTGAAATCAAAATTATATTAGATATTTACATTAGATAGTATGTACTTACTTTGCTATAATTATAGAAATCGTAAATCATACAGGATGTTCAAAATTCTACGCCAAACTTTCTAAAATATAAAATAATGTTTCTTCGTTTTTTAAATGGAACACCCTGTAGATTATTTTTTCAGTAGGTGGAGAATTAAAAAATGAACATTTTTTGTATTTAGAGTATTTCAAAATTTTTAACGGTTTTGCAGATATTCGCGGTTTTATATTTCATATGGCATTTTCCACAGTAAATTTTTATCAAAACCACACCCAATAATTTTTCTCTCGTATTTTACCATTGAATGCACCATATGAAATAATACTGTGTGTATCTGCAAAACTATTAAAAATTTTGAAATACTTTAAATACAAAAAATGTTTATTTTTTAACTCTCCATATAATAAAAATATAATATACAGATGTTCTATTTAAAAAAACAAAGAAAAGATATTTCCTATTTTAGAAAGTTTGGCGTAGAATATTGAACATCCAGTATGATTTACGATTACCATATTTATAGTAAAGTAAGAACAAACTATCTAAAGTAAATACCTAATATAGTTTTGATTTCAGAACAGTTCTTGTGTTTTTAATAATTTTTTTAAGAAGGGTTGAAAAATATATATTTTTAATTTATTTTTTAATATCTCTGAAACTATCGAAATATATTTACTCATATCTTAGGATTATGTCAAGTGATCAGAAAGGAAGTCAAAAATGCAATAATATACAGTGTGTTCCTTTTAAAAAAAAATCATCCAGATCCACTCACATTTTTTTGAGCCACCCTATAGAAGTTAAAATATTTTCCTGAAATACATCCTGGTACATACTTTAAGTTTGCACTTAAACAAGACTTCCAATTTTTTTATTCTAGGAGCTACAGATGCCCGACGCACTATTGCCGGACCCTGTATAATAATTTTCTGTGTATTTTTTCCGATATTATAGTCATTCCGCCATTTGGGGCAAAGATAAATCCAACACATAAGAGATAATTAAAATTGGTTTAGGCGTTTCTGAGTTATAAATAGTGTAACTCACCCGACTTTCTTCTATTTATTTAGATTTCATTCTCTTTGGGAAATATAATAATTGTTTATTTATTAGAGACGTTATGTTTATTATATTTGTAGCATTTTTAAAATATTTACACAAAATTTAAAATTGTATAAAGATATTAATTTTAGTATTGATAAAATATTTCGCTTTACTACCTACATGTTTATTGACAAGAAAGATTGTGCAGAAAATTATATTAAAATATCTAATTAAGTATGATAGAAATATTTCTACAAAAATATGTATGTTAATTTTAAGTTAGTAAAGGAAAAAATGAAGCTATTTTATTTTAGTCGCTAAAAATATACAAATGAAAAATATCATTATTTATAATTAAAAACACCAAGCGATTTTGTATTATACACAAAAATATAAGAAAAAAACAGTTAAAGACTTGTATATCTGAGCCAAAATGCAACACCAAATACCCAAACAACACTGACACTGAGTGATCATTGCACTCGGCAACTTACGGACTTGTGTCGGTGATTCCACTGGATTTGTTCAGGTCTAGGTCCCCCCTGTAAGGAAGCAACTATGCTACATCTATACATCTAATGAGATCGTTAACCTTGTTTTAGGCAATGTTGAAACGGAAAACAGTTTTGGAAGCTGCCCTTCTTTCAATATAATATCCTTTTTTGGATAATATTTTTGCCATCACAAAAAAAGTACAAATGTTTAGGTTAAAGTAATTCGAGCGATGGGCTATAATATAAAAAGTGACAAGGAAGTTGTGACAAAAACTGAAATTGCACAAAGTGCCATTTAATACATTTTAATCGAATAAATTGGGTTCTTAACTTATCGTTAACTTATTTTAATTTCGGTTCAATATGTAATTCATCAGAATTCACGTTTTCAATTAATTATCACTCTCACTTAAATTAGTCGAAATTAGCGGAATAAATTAGTGGTTTCAATTATATTTAAAACTACTTTTTACTATACTACTTTTACTATAATTCACAAGGTCTAAAATAACAATTAAAATTAATACAATATCTTAGCAATAGTTTGTGGTAGTCAGTTGAATCCATAGGGAAAGCCTAATAATTCGTTTATAAAACAATAATATTTTCATTTCTAACCACATTAAAATTTCTCTAAACAGATGATAAATTTTGAAGTATAATTAGTGGCAAAAGTTAGAACCTCATTCGGAACCTCGAAATTAGTGGATAAAATTAGTGGGTTCAATTACACTTTATACTTCTTAAGCTTCATTCACAAATGTTTAAAAAATACAATTAAAATTAATAGAATATCCTAGCAACAGCTTGCGTTAAGTGCCCTACCCACGCGGCAATTTCTTTTCAATCTGCAGGGCAAAATTTGCAGGCACCCTGCAGATTGCTTTGTATGTAGAGTAATTGTGACAATAATAAGGGACAATTTACAAATTGGCGATTGGCTAGGCTGCCCAAACAATTTTATTTCCGATTCCTGCAAGTTGGGACGTGTGTAGAGCGCGCCAGGTCAATTCCACAGAAACCGACTGGTGCGGTGTATCGTTTCGTTTTGTTTTAAGTATTAGTAGCAACTGTTTTAAAGTGGTCAAGATGTTGGCCTTAGAGAAAGAAAGATGCCCAGTATTCGAACCAAGATAAAAGACAAGGGGGATTTGAAGTCCTCGCTCATTCTTAAAAAAATTCTAACGTCATCCACTGCCAATTCTCTCATCAAATTTATATGAGAGAAATGTTTTCTTTGCCTTAACCAGTTTTTGATCCACCACCTTCTTTTATTATGACTTGGAATTGCAGACATTGCTAAGGCAATGCCAACTTTTTTTTTGTTAAATATGGAGCCATAATAATATCACAAAGCTCACAACTTTGATGTCTCTTGAACTGATTGCTGTCCTACTAATTGCATCGTATGGAGGAGAGCGCCAATTTGATACAACACACAATCTGTCGGATCCTGTTAACTGTTCCCTGCTCATTGAAATAAAAATTGCCGCGTGAGTAGGGCATTTTAGTCAATTGAATCTATACCGGGTGCGTCTCAAAAGTGGCTCACCCCCTGTAACTTTTTTATTTTTTCAGATAAAACAACGAGATTTGATATGTTAGTATATGACATAAATTGGGATTAATTGACGTATTCAATTGTTTTCGGCCACTTCCTGTCTCACCGGAAATGACTACTACTTTTTTTTATTCGATAGAAAATGATATTCTGAATAGATTGACGTATCATATGTCAACTTTTGACATTATCGCTTAATAAAAAATCGTATTTTAAATCTCAATCTAGAGTGTCATGGCTATGTTAAAAACACTAATTCTTAATGAAGGAGCCTTGGAAAAATAGATTTAATCGTCTAATGTTTTTAGTGCCTTGTCCTGGCCGGTTAGAAAATGCCCAAATCGTATTTTTAATCATATCTCAATTTTTTCAAATGGAACGAGGGTGGCTTGTTAGCATATTTAGAAAAAGTATTTTTTTACGAATAATTTGATATTACACACAAGTTATAATTGCAAATAAAGCATATGCGAAAATGTCAAAAGTTGACATATGATATGTCATTCTATTCAGATTGTTATTTTCTATCGAATAAAGTAAAAAAAAATACCGAGGATGCCATTTAAAAATCAAAAGTTGTAGTCATTTCCGGTGAAACAGGAAGTGGCCGAAAACAATTGAATACGTCCAATTAATCCCAATTTATGTCGTATACTAACATACCAAATCTCGTTTTTTATCTGAAAAAATAAAAAAGTTATAGGGTGAGTCACTTTTGAGACGCACCCGGTAGAGAATGCCTAATATTTAGCTTATAAAACAATCAACTTTTGCTTTCTAACCACAAATTCTCTGGAAGAATGATAATCAAAGGTCAAAATGACATTCTTCGCAAATTTTAAAGTATTAGTGGGAAAGTTTGGTAACTTTTTCTACTAATTGAAAATGACTAACTAATAAAAACTAAATTGAAAATATCACTAATTTTGATGTTCTGAATACTTAAATTAAAATTACAGAAACATCTATGCTAGTTGAATCCACTAATTTAGTCCACTGATTGCGGGGTTCTAAATGTTTTACGAGTTTACGATAATTTACAATGAAGAAAATAGAAAAAATTGGTTAAGTGCGAGTCGGACTTGCACGAAAGGTTCCGTACCATTCATTATCTATACAACATTAGACACTATATTATTATAAACTTTTTTTCCGATTTAGCTGAAATTTTGAATGCGCGTATAAGTAATTTAAAAAAAATGAAGAAACACATTACTAAAAATTGTATTAATCGATAATAAATATGCAAAAAGTAAAAATAAATATGAAAAATATGTAAAAATTAAAAAAAAACGATTAAAAAAAAGTCGCCTTGACTAGGATTCGAACCTGCCTCACTACGGCTCCAACGTCACAGCAGCGTAAAGTCCTAACGCTTTAACCACGCGGCCACCGAGAACTTGAAAGATTCTACGTAAAATTCTTACTTAAAAGATAATGTTTAGTGAAAGTACTTTTTTATTTATAAACATTTATTTAATTCTGTTTTTAGTATTTGTTCTTATAGCGGCAACATAGATACAACTGTCTAGCTATAACGGTTCATAAGATAGACCTTTGTGACAGACGGACGGACGGACGGACGGACGGACAGCGAAGTCTTAGTAATCGGGTTCTGGTTTGTACCCTTTGGGTACCGAACCCTAAAAAGCCTAATAATTAGCTTAAAAAACAATAAACTTTTCATTTCCAACCACAGTTTCTCTTGACAAATGATAACCAGAAGCCAAAATGACATTCCTCATAAATTTTGAAGTATATGTGGAAATATATATATGTATATATTATAAGTAGAAAAGTTAAAAGCAATGACTAAAGAATTCAAGGACAAATAACACCCGAGAGCAAATTGTTACCATGGCACCAAACAGTGCCGTGGCCATATTTTTTTCTTAACTTAGCTAGTTGAAGGGATATTTATATTTTTGATAAATGTTTTGACTACGCCTATGATGTAGGCGGTGGCATCATACTAATTAATTACGAAAGAAACGTATTAAAATGTTAACAAACGGTACAAAACTAGTATTGACGTATAGCACACATCAAGTACATATAATATCAGAAAAATAATTATTGAATTCAATAAGAAAACTTAAGAAAACGCTAAAAAGGTGGAGCGGACTGTTTATTTACTTATGAAACGTAACTCCTGGCTCTTTCTTTACGCTGCTGCTTTTAGATTTGAAAGCTGAACAACTAATCAGCATTGTAATAAAGTTTATACAAAGTTCACTACACACAAACTATTAAAAATTAATAAAATTGTCGCTGATGACCAGCTGATGACTCAAACGAAAAGAAAAGGCGTCTAAGGTCACAAATTCTGCTGCAGCCCGTAATGGGCGTTACGTGTCCTTATATTCTTTAGTCATTGGTTAAAAGTTAGTTAACTTTTTCTACTAATGGAAAATTACTACCACTAATTTTGACGTTCCCTTAAATTTAAATTATAGAAACAAACTTCCACGTTAACTGATATCGCTAATTTATTCCTCTAATATCTGAAGTTCTGAAGTTGAGAATTTTAAATGAATTCCTGTAAGTTTACTGATGTAGAGCTTCTTAAAAATATAAGTTTAAAAGTAATATAATTCTGAAAATTGCGGCATGGAGAAATTTTATTCCAAATTTAATAAAGCATAATTTTGAACTTATTCATAGTATTCTTGTTAAGGTTCTATAAAACATAGTTAATTGGCTTTTTCAAATTAAGGGGATTTCAGTAATAATTTCTATCTGTTTTTGAAGGATCGCTTTATATTCTATAATTTAAAAATTAATATTAATTTTGATATTTTAAACAACAACTAGAAATATTTCTAATAGCACATTAATAATTTTAATAAAAAATCATGAAAGTGCTAACGGTCCGTTTTGAAAAATAATGCTATAAGACATTTAAAATTCTTCCCTTAAGTTCCCTGGTTACATTTTTACAATTTAATTTTTTTGAAAACAATAATGTTGTAGTATATTTTTTTTGTATTAAAACGGTCAAAATATCTGTGTCGATTCATTGAAAATAAATCACTTGTAGTAGCAGGAAGTTATGTATATCAATAATTTTCTTTCGAATATTTAGATGATGGTAAAATTTTAATTGATGGTAAAAGGCAGCTTCCATAATTTTATATGAAATAGAATATATCTACTTTATCGAGTTGTTTTGTAAATTGCTACATATTAGTGCTTATATATTTTTATTTTCTACTAATAGATAAAAATACTGATATTTTTGTACTGATTAAACATTTTATTAAATATTTATTGTCTTTTATTAACATTAGTTTCGAAATGAAATGCAAACTTCTAAAATTAACTTAACAAAATGTTATTCAATTTATGTTGCGTTCTGGATGTATTTACTAATATTCTATTTCAATATATTAGTTTTTTACATATAATACCAAACACATATTTCTGAAAATAAGAGTCTTAAACATAAAAAATTAGTTAGTTAATAAGGAATAAATTTACACGTGCTAAGAACTTATATAACATATTAGTTATGATAACTAGTAATTTTAAAAAGATAACTAAACGTAAATTATGCCGAAAGATTTTCTCTTAAAAGTTTAATTAAATGAGTCATAGAAAAGCACGTCTTAAATCTTAGTGCCATTCTGTTATTTGTAAATGTATATTTGTAATTTTGATATGTTATAAAATGGGGGAAAATTGTAGAAGACATTAATTTTGTTTTAAGATTTATAAAAATATATCTACATTCATAACTTGATCATCTATGATACACCATTCTTAACTATCTGTATATCATAAAAAAAATATATCAACAAAAACTTCTAATTGATTTATATTTCGTTTATTTCTTATTCATTTTATGGAATTAATTTTATATAAATAAAACATAAGATAACCTAAAATATAGTAGTAAAATTATGTGCCTATACTTACAGCCTCTGATAATCGCAAGAACTAGCAAATAGAACTTTTTCCTTATTAATCTATTTTAAAACTATAAACTTTTTAAAAGACTTATCTGACGTTAAACGATCAGAAAGCCATGCGCCCAGCAGCCAGAAGGCTATTAGCAATCTACTTTGCTTTGCATATTAATAATAAACTGTATCAGAGCACAACAAAATATAAATATAACATATTAAAAATAATTTGTAAATACGTAGAAATATTATTTACCATTATACATCTATTTTGTAAAGTTTCAAGAGCTTAATATTCACATGTTATATTTTGAAAAGTCAGGTAATCATGAATTCTGAATGATATTGTGTCGTACTAATCGTCGTTTAACAAAGAATACAATTTAATCATTATATTTTCCTTTGAATGAAAAGATTAAGGAATGAGTATAATATTATCCATGTTTTCATGCATGGTGAACGGAATCGATAGCGTAGGTTCCCATCCTTGACAGTTCTGCTTGACGTTTTAATAATTGAAACATTTGAATTTGATTTGAAATTTTTTCGGTTTGGTATAACCACATAAAATCTTTATGAAATGTTCCATAGTGAGTGTATTCTTTTTTGGAAAATGGATTAAACTTCAAACATTAACTTTATTGTATCATGATTTTCGGTAAGCGAGAAACTTTTTTATTTGAAGGAATTTTTACATATAAATAAATAAATAAATAAATGCCTTTATTGTCAAAAATTTTTTCAATTTGTGGACAAAGGTAAACTAACAAACAAAGTAAAAAAAAACAAGGTACACAAACAAACAAACAAAAGATAATACAAAACATTATACAAATAATATTGTCAGTCTTATTGTTAAAATAAACATATATAAATGTATTTCAATTTTATTGGTTTGACGGAACGATAAACGACAAACGGACGCCGATGCGTATGAACTCGCCTTTAGATTTTTGACGCTTGTCAAAGTCTTGCCAAATTAGAGGTTATAATTTTGTGTCAACTGTTGTCAGTTTTGTCAAATACCCTGCGTTTTGGAAGATTATGCATTTTGATTCGTGTTATTACGTGTGTTTTGTGTCTTTTGAAGTCGCTTGGAGGAAAAATCGAGTGAAAATTAACTGTAGACCCAGAGCACAGTTTATGGTTAATACACGCTGCCCAGGCAAAAAGTCTTATACACCAATAAAGTTACCATCATTAAAGTTCGTATACCATCTCGTCGTAGACAAGTGCATCTCGAATATGGTAGAAGAACCATACTAAACACATACTAAAAACTGGAGTAGCTGTAAAATATCGACATCACACGATACGTAAATAATGGATTTTAGTAATGCCAAAGGTACTGGTTTAAAAAATTAAGATTAAAGTTAATTAATCAACCTTTAAGGTACCTATAAAATTTACTAAGTGTTATTAATAATAAAATAGTTTGTTTTATTTATGTTGTTTTATTTATTCCTGCGGAATATTACAAATTTGTATTTGTACCTAAGTTATATTGATAAATATAATCATAAATGCTGGAAGTTTCATAAAGCTTGAAAGTAAGAAATAGTTCTTTTTTATATTTTCTTGGTATGTGGTGTCTTGTTATTGTTTGTTTTGTATTAACACATACTGTTTTTTATTAAATCAAATAACTCGATTACATTTTTTCAGTTTTATACAGTTTTTTTCACAATATTTTGAAGTAATCACTTGTCAGTCAAATTTTAAATATAATAATTTCCTGCTATGCGTTCCAGTTGTACCAACTTATTTCTTTATAAAATAAAATAAACTACTTTAAAATTAAAATGACAGACACATCTATCACTGTCAAGGACCTTCTCGTTGGACAGACTATAGTAAATCTAGAAGGAAATTGTTTCAGAACTTAAATTAATAGAGACACTATTACGAATAAGACTATAAAATAGTTGATTGTGCGGCGTGCGGTAGTTCTCTGTCAAAAACTAATGGAAAAACTTTTCACTGGTATGTGACTATACAGGGTCGCTTTTATGTATGGAAACGGTCGATTATTAGGTAAAATATACAAGATACCGCAAAAAGTTAAATACAAGAATTATATATGGATTTTAAATGTCTGTTAGAGAGTAATAAATTTATGTATACAGGGTCGGTAATAAAGTCGTGGCACATCAAAGTCTCATTTTTTTAAATAGCTTGTATATTATTGCATATTTCAATTCTTCCTTCAATTCTAAGCAAAAATCGAAATATACACAATGTACCTCAAACCAACCGTTTCCGAGTTATTGACTTTTGAACATATTACTTAAACAATTTGATTTAATTAATTTCGTTATTAGTCGAGTAAAATTACTGAGAAAAGTCGCTTCCTTCTCGAAATTGTTTTTTTAAGGTATAACCACATAAAATCTTTATGAAATGATCGGTTAGGGCTTTGTGCATGCGAAATGACAAATTACGACCTTTTTGGGGGGGTCAGAAATTTTTTATCCGGGAAAATATCAAAAATCTATAACCATGTTTTTTTACCTTTCCTACGCGATAACTCCTAAACTAATCAACTTATTCACATACTCTTTTTTTTAATCGATTGAGAACGCATAGGCGATGAACGCTGAGGTAATTAAAGTTCCATAGTGAGTGTATTCTTTTTTGGAAAATGGATTAAACTTCAAACATTAACTTTATTGTGTCATGATTTTCGGTAAGCGAGAAACTTTTTTATTTGAAGGAATTTTTACATAGTATCTGCGTATGAAATGAAGAAAAAATATTGAAAAAGTTTTTAAAACTTGTTACAACTTTCTATTACTATTATTTTTATAGTTATTCTGATTTAAAGTTATCATTATTCCGTGCGCGGGCTCTAGAGACGCCGCGCCGCGCTATACCGCCCGGCCTGCATCACGTTGTACGGCGTGCTAGATGTGGCATTAATTTATGTTTTAGAGTAAATGTAGGAGAATTATTTTTAAGTAATTATTTAATATCTGAGTATATATGTCGGTGTCGATTTAATATGACATTTTATTTTTGTAATAAATAATATAATAAATAAAAAAAACATAAAAAAA